TATATATATATATATATATATATTTGAAAATAACACTTTAAATCTAGTGGGGTGAACCATACTCGATAGCTCACACTATAGCATGATTCTACAAGTAGAGCAAAACTACATCTTCTATCTGAGACAGTGGTGAGTCGTGACTGAACAACGATGGGTAATTCCTATGACTATGGCAAGTTATGGCTGAACGACGATGCAAATCATCTTTCCCATGACAGGTAGGAGCTTTTTGTTCGATGGTGGAAGATGGTTGGGACTCTGAGATGGTGAATCAATGTGACTAAGATTTGGGAAAACTTGGACATAGGGAAAGGAGGAGGGGCACGTGACAGGTTGTTAAGAAGTTGAATTTGATTCGTTAAATTAATCTAAGAATTATATTTTAACTCTCTCATTTTTCACAATAAAATACCCTCTCACCTAATACGCTCCTATATATATGTGTGTGTGTGTGATTAATTTTGTTTAACAAGTATTTAAAAAATAAATGAATTTTATATAATTATAGATATATGTTTAATAGTGTGTTAACTCATGAAATATTGACGAGGGAATTTCACTCAACTTTCCTTAAATTATTTAAATAACATGCATATTTTCTCTAATTTTTAAAAATCACTCAACTTTTATGAAATAAGATCATTAGTTAAAGTGAAAAAAGAAGAAATAAAAGTTAATTCATATTCTGGTAATAATAAATGTGTCTATCCTTTATTTATGAATTACTTACAATGTTATACTTTATGAAAATTTTATTATTCTTCAATTTTAAAAATAATAATTTCTAAACTTATTATTGAAAATATTTTTCTTGAAGTTGACATATTTTGTAAATCACAACAAACATAATATATAAAATATAATTTAGAAATTAAAGTTAAGTATGAGATAAAGTTTCATTTAATTATAGATACTTGCTTTAATAATCTATTATCTCTTAATAGAGTACAAGTGGTGTTATTTTATATAAGGAGTTATATATGTCATTATAATAAATAAATAAAAAAGATTAATGTTCACTTAAAAATTAAAGGATAAATGTGTATTATTTAAAAGTACTTAAGAGAAGATTAGCGTAATTTTTTCAATATGTAATAATGATTAATTTTATATTACTACTGATTAATAATGTCATAATAATTATTTTAATTTTATATATAAAATATTAATAATTAATTAATGGTATAAAAAATTATATTAACAATACACAAAAATTAAACTCATAATTTTATGTTAAAAATTAGTAATAAATATGTCTATATTTATACAAATTAAAAATATTCAACCCTTTATTTTATTCTTTGCTGACAGATTCCATGTCCAGATGCAGAGCGATTGACGATCCGATTCAACTCAACAATGATAATTATGACTTTTCGTTTTAAGTAGGGTCAAAGGTTATTATTAATATTAAAAAACTAATTTAAAAATAAGAAAAAGGGCATTATTGTAAATGTGTTTTGTAGTGACTAGTGAGGTCCGTGACGCGTTGAAGTTTGGGATTGGTAGGGTCACAGACAGCACCACAACACTGCAGTATGCAGATAATGCATTATTAATTTATGCTATTCTAATATATAATGATATACCTTTTAGCAACTATTTTAATTTTTGTTTTTGGTAAATTATTATATTTTTTTACTAAAAATAAAATAAAAAATAATATTTTATTATATTTAAAAATTAAATTTAATTGAGATTTGAGATTAATTGTAACACTAATAAGATTAATATTCTTTTATTACTTAATTTTAATTTTATATTATTTTATTCTTAATAGAAATATGAACCGCATCAAACCTACTGATTGCTATAAAATGTGAAAGGTTCGAAAATAGTGATGTTTGGAATATGAAGACGTGCTGTGTCATTTTTCCTTTCATCATCTAAGATAGTTATTTATTGATTGTATTTTTAGTTTCTACCTGGAGGATCCACCGCCGATAATAATGATTAATCTTCTTGTTATGTTGAAGGCACATCAAAAAATAGAATAGCTAGTCCCAAAATTTAATGCAGTTGCATAGTTGTTTATTGATTATAACAATGTATTGAAACAAATGCATAGATTGAGCTCGGATACCCCTATGATCCACATGAAAACGTGTTACTCTACTGAATATATATATATATATATATATATA